CCTTAAGCAGATTCAGAATGATAAGGAGCTGTTGGTAAGCTTTACTCCTAAACATTGGAACCCTAACCAAATCAACTACTCCACTGTAAAAAAAGAACTGCTTGCTATTGTTTTATGCATCTCAAAATTTCAGCATGATTTGCTCATTCAAAATTTTTTACTACGCATTGATTGCCAATCAGCAAAATACATTTTGGAAAAAGATGTTCAAAACCTTGCTTCTAAACAAATATTTGCACGATGGCAAGCCATTCTTAGCATTTTTTATTTCGACATACAATTTATAAATGGTTCTTCAAACTCTCTTCCAGACTTCCTTACTCGAGAATTTTTGCAGGGAGGACGAAGTGCGGAAAACTCTCAGGCTTGCAATCTCCAGTCATAATGCCCCCTACCACTAGATTGCGAGATAAAGAGAAAATCATAATCAAAACATGGAGAGAGATATTTGATGATGAACAAGGAAGCCCTGATCATTCAAGTGAGTATGAAGAAAGTTCTGATGATTCTGGTTCACACTCAAGTTCATCCAAAGCTTTAATCAATAATGATAAGCTTCCTCTTGAAGCCCAAAATTATCTTCAAAAATCTATTGCCGTTTCTGGTTCTAAACAAAAGCTTCCCATTGAAGCTTCAACTTCCTCAACAATTTCCCCTTCTAAACTAATTCTTTCAAATACTCAAACGCCTAGTGGCATCCTACCCACACCCATCTCTTCCGAAGAAACCAAACAAATCTATCAGCAACATCATCTTGATGTCGCACCTACCTCAACAGAGGTGGCATCTTCGATAGCCCCTCTCAAAACTGTTTTCCCAAAACCCAAGAGGTGGTGGTTATCCAAGCCCCTCAAAATCGATTTCAAACGTATTTTAAGAAAAACACTTTTCAGCCCATTTTCGTTGTCGAAGATGGTTTCTACCATCAATATCCAAAGGTTACTGCCAAACATTTCCTCAATGAGTGGTTCTTCAAACCAAGATCCCTCAACAAAACCCACAAATATTATGAACTTATCCTCACAGAAACTAGATCAGTCACCTTTTCCCACAAATTTGATCCTTCAGACAAAACACTCAATACCCACTCAACCTGCAAAATCCACCAAATTATCCACCCTCGCCAATGGCCTACTACCCCAAACACCAACCAAAAATTCCCTGCTACTATTGCTCTTAACCACCCCCAAATCTGCCAATCCTTCAATTACTGGGATTACCATGATGCTTGGATTAATGCCTTCTTCAAGCAAAACCATATGTACTGACACTCCTGGAGTTTTTTCTGGGATTACAAAACTCCCATTATTTTCCCCAACTGGTTTATGCACTGGTGGGATCTTTTTGGGCCAACTGAAAATATCTATCCAACTGAGATACAAGAGGGATATCAAACCTTCTGTCAAAAATATTCTGGTCCAGGATTACCCCTCCTCAAATTTTGTTACTACATCAAAGTTCCTTGGATTACTGCTTGAGAATTCAGTTACCAAACATGTGCCGTCACAAAGGTACCCATGTTAGGCCACAGCTTCAAAACCAAATATTGGGCTGCAAATCCTCGCCCAGAACAAGCCTACAAACCTCAAGTCCTCCAATGGTTCAATAACAATCCTGAATTGTCCAAAGTTATTGAAAAATCCTCAATGCAATGTTTGCAAACAAAATCCTCAATCAGCTCTCTCTTAGCTGGCGCCAAGACTAAAGAAGAATACTTCCAAATTCTCAAAGATGTGGCGTCTAGCTCAACATCTGACGCAGATTCCACGTTCCAAAACCATGACCCGGATGAAGAAGTGCTTGGTCCTTTGCCAAGCAAAAGCACTAAGTTGAAGACAAAGAAGAAGTGACCCCATTGCTTCTTCCACTACCATAAAGACAACGAAGAAGTGACTCCACTTCCAACCCACTATCCTAAAGACAAAGAAGAAGTGACTCCACTTCCAACCCACTCAATTTGGTTATGGAAAGAAGACCACAAATTATATATTTTCCTTTATATTAAAAATGTAATTTTGTTATGACATGTGACATAATCATATAAGTGTCCACATTGTCATCATTATGTTTTTCAATTTATTTACCAAAATGGGACTCCATTTCTCTATAAAAGGAGACTCCCTTCACTTGTTGTAAATAGAGTTGTTTTGAGTGGGAATTGCTCTCTTGTAAAGTTATCCTCCCATCATCTTCTCTCAAGAATTCCTGTGTAAGAAGTCTATCAAACTATCAAGTTTTACTTCATCTTTTTCAAATCATCTTCAACTTTTGTTTATTTTGTGCATAACTGGTCATCTCCAGTATTTATTTTATGCAAATTTGGTCATCTCCAGTATTTATCTTCTGCTAATCTGGTCATCTCCAGTATTTATCTTCTGCTAATCTGGTCATCTCCAGTATTTACTTTTTGCAAATCTGGTCATTTCCAGTATCATTTACTTTACAAACTATTTTCAAGTTAATCTTTTGTTGGCGGTCTCATTCCGTCCTTACTGGTATATATATATATATATATATATATATATATATATATATATATATATATATATGGATTATCACACTATACCATATGGTATTGTGTGGTAACGAAATATATTTTTATGGATATCATGTTTTACCACGTAATACCACGTGGTATTGATGGTATTTAGATTTGAAATTTTACTTTTTGCATGTTATACCATATGGTATAGTATGATAATTAGATTTATAATTTTCACTAGCATGTTTTACCAGGTAATACCATGTAGTATTGTATGGTCATTTTATTTTTAGCAAGTGATAATCATATTCATATTTGTAATTGTTGTCCATAGCACTGAATTATTTAACAAAAAAATTATTATTCAATTTTTTTAGTTGGAATTAGAGCAGAGATAGTTGTGATGGTTAGATTGATTTTTGTTGTAGAGATAGAGTTAGAGTTTAGACAATATATGCATTTCTCTTCCTCTTCTAGTTATAGATGGGAGAGAGAAGAAATAATATAATTGTTCTTTTAATAATAAAACAGAGAGTGGGAGAGAGGGAACACGCGTGGGACAGGGAGTGGGGTTCGCGTCTAGTCAATAGTCAACATCAGTATTAAATGATGGTGTGGGCAATTTACCCTACTGCCCCTCCGTATTTAATTTAAATAAAAGGAAAAGATTGACACGTTGGGCTAGGAGAAAGGGTTACTGATGAGAGCGTTACTAATGGGATCCGGACCCTCAGAAAGAGACTGAAGAGGATGATTATTCTAAAGGCGAGGATACAGATCCGTTGTGTTCTACAGTGTTGTTTATGGCGGCACAGAAGATAAAGTGGAGAAGGGAGTGGCGCTCGACTTTGGTGGTGAAGGGTCTGGGAAGGAAACTTCCCTATGTGCCTCTGGCACGTGGACTCGAGTCTATGTGTGCTAGGCATGGAGCACTCCACGTTTCAGATATGTAAAAATGAGTGCTTTTTGGTGCGCTTTAAGAGTGGCAAAGATTACGAATATGCCCTCCATGTGCCCTTCCCCTGTTGATAAAAGTCGCTCTCGATACAAAACTCGTTAATACCATGTGTTTGGGTTCAATTGTCATTCTCAACAAAAAGAAAAATAGCAATTTAAAATTACTAAAGTTGGGTTCAAGTCGCTTTGTCATGATTGAATTAGGTTGAATACCCCATGAGTTTGAGTTTAATTTCCATGCTTAACCAAAAGAAAAAGAGAAATAAGAAAATACTAATGAATATAAAATTCGTTCCCGATACAAAACTTGACAACAGAGCATGTTGGTATGGATTTTCGTTAGCGGTCTTGGGACACGGTTGATGGGTACAACATAGGATTCCACTGAAAGTATTTTGAGATATGATATAAATTTTTGGTTGATCTATTGATATAGTAACCAAAAGAAATAGATGTATTGAAGATGAAACCTAATGGAAATAGATGTAGATCCAATGGACAATAAATGAACACAAAGGTTGTAAAATGGGAGAGTGGGGTAAAAGATGGAGGTTGAAACTTGCCCACTTGCGAGGAGGAGTGTGAGAACCACTAATGAATAGTAACACCAAACCTTGACTTTTATATATTAATTAATTAATATTAATATATTAATGTCTGGGAGGCAGCTTGAGTACCAACCTTTGGAGGTCAATTCGAAGAGTTTGAAGATGAATCGAGTTCTGAGGATGCTGCCCCACGAAAGTATGTATCTTCATCTCCAACGACGTGGCATTGGATGACTGGAAAGGAGTTTGGAAGGCTTCCAACGAAGAGTGGCAAGATCGTAGGGAGCTCGGTTTGATGAATGTCTTGCATAGTAATCCTAATCCGACTCGGACTAGGATTACTACTACCATGTTTTACCTTTTCTGTTTTGAGTTAGTTTTTCGTGTTTGATTGTGTTAAGGAATAGTTGATAAGTTACCCTAGGTCTATTTAAGAGTTTCAATTCATTGTAATCGTCAGATTTTCGCGGAATAGAATACAAACCCGAGTTGGTTCATAAGCTTGTTGCTTTGTGAGTTTGAGAGTTGTTTGGATCGAGATCTAGAAAGCTTATGTGCTTGTATCGATCAAGTAATCACTTTGATCGTGGTCAGCTTCTATCTATACTTTTTGATCCTTCTTCCTAGTGTAAGATTGCACGAAAAGTTCCATGGAAAACTCTTGAAAACTACTATGTTCTTGGTTCGAGTTGGGGAATCGAGTTTGATCAATTCCTTATTGCGCAATTCTGGTTAAGTTACCCATTTATGGTCTCATCATCCTAACTTCCTATTAATTGGACACTAGTGTTGTCGTAATAACAACACATCAACACAAGAGGTGTTGTCACCTTATCTAGTTCCAACTAAATTATACTCAAAATATATTGTTTCAAGTTAAATTTTAAGCAAGAACTAGAGGGTTTGGCTGTCATGGCCCATGGGAGTATGGGACACATATAAGTTATAGTAAAAAAATCTCTATTCATAAAAAAAAGTTAAAATAATAAATCTCTATGTATGCATGAGGAATAGATTGAACTCGCCAATTTAAAGTGAAGTAAGAGTATTTTATCACTACACTAAAACTTATTTATTGTTATTCGACTTACATAAATTAATTTATTACAGTACTATAAATGAAATCATCAATCAAAATAGTTAATATTTAAAAAAATACACATAATTTCAACTTTTTGCTGAGCCACTAATGACAAACGACGGTTCTATCTTGCTTACGCTCGTTTGAAGCGTTGATATTTTCCCACTGACCTCATTTCGGTACAAGAACCTCATTAACCAAACGGTCCAAATTGAGGGCCGACGATCCAGCTGGTCCAGTAGCTTTCCGAGCCAAATTCCCCCAATCCTCTGCCTTGTTCCTCATCTCCTTCCCCTTTTCCCCGTTCATCAACTCCTTCACGAGCTTCTCCACCGCCGCCCTCTTCACGTCCTTCTCCACCTCCATCCCCATCCCCCACTCCGTACACGCCATCCTGCAATTTATCATCTGGTCGCTGAAGAACGGCCAGCAGAGCACCGGAACTCCGGCGGTCAAGCTCTCGATAATCGATCCCCACCCGCAGTGCGTCAGAAACCCTCCGACCGCCGGATGGTTCAAAACCTCCTCCTGCGGGCACCATCCGGAGATGAACCCGATCCTCTCCGCCTTCTCCTGGAATTCCGGAGGAAGAGCAGCCGATTCACCCGTAACCAGGTCGGGCCGGATGACCCAGAGGAAGGAAACCCCGCTGCTGACCAAACCCATCGCGAATTCGGTCAGGTGCTGTTTCGACATCGTGGCGATGCTCCCGAAATTGACGTAGATTACGGAATTGGGCGGTTTGGTGTGAAGCCAGCGGAGGCACTCTGGCTCTTCCTTCCACAGGCTGTAGCTGATTGCGTCGAGGGTCGGGTGGGTGGATGCGATTTGGTCGACGAGGAGCTGGATTGGTCCGACCGAGTAGACCCGGCCAGGGTAGATGGAGTCGAGTGCGGCGAGGACGTTCCGTTCGAGGGCGTCGAATGTGTGAATTAGAATAGCGGAAGCTCTGGCCGCTGATTCGGCGAATTCCATTAGGCAGTGGAAAACCGGCTCTTCGGGATCCGTTGTCTGAAAGAAGCTGGGCAGATCCCGGAGACGTATGTTGTTCATTCCCGGCACTTCTATTGCCGTCTCCAGATATCCATTCGTCAAATAGCTGTCGTCTGCCGGGGAAAAGAAAAAAATTGAAAGGGATAGTTAGTTTGTTGGAATTTGACCATCTTTTGAAGAGCAAAAATGACCAATTTAATTGAAATTTGACCATCTTTTAATTTGTACAGAAAAAAATGACCTTTGAAGGGGGTGATGCCTCTTTCAAGCAGAGGGCGGAACTGCTTGAACCCCATGAACCCACAAGCAGCAAAGCTCCAGTAGCTCACCGACGGGATGCCGAACTCCCGAGCCACGTCGACGGCGAAGGGCATGGTGTCCGCAATCACGCAGCTCACCGGAGGGTTGCTGTCGTTGTGGAGTTGGGCGAGGAGCTCCCTGAAGGGAGCGGGCATGAACTTGCGGATGGAGTTGCAGACCGCCGCGATGTCCTGGGTGGCGTCGGGACGCGACGGTGGGAGGCCGTCGGGGATGGTGGCGAATTTGAAGTCGGGGAGTCCGTCGAGGGCGTGGGGACCTCTGGTGTGGAGGAAACGGTTGTGGTTGAACTGGGTGTTGACGTAAGTGATGTGGAAGCCTCTGTTGTGGAGGAGCTTGGCGAGCTTGAGAGTGGCCTTGATGTGGCTCTGAGCTGGGAATGGGATGCAAACGGCATGGGGCTTCTTCGGCAGCGCCGCGTCCTTCGAGCCCATTGTCTTGTCTTGTTTGGTTTTGTGTGCTTTCAATTTGGGGATTGGATGGATGAGAAATGTGTTACTGTTAGCTAGATATATAGCCAACTTCTCTGGATAATACTCATCAGTAGATCGATCCCAAAGTATATATGTAATTATGTATGGCCTTGTTAGAAGTGTAGGTACCAATTTGTAATTCTACAAATAAGTGACGTAAGATGGAGTTAGGGTTGTGGGTTGGCCGTGTATATATATATATGTTGTGATGGCTGACCTACGTAAGAACACAGTGACGTAAATATGTGTCTCGTCTCTCTCGTATTTATGTTCGTATTATTATCATGGTATCAGAGCCTCAGGATTCTTGATCGAATTTGAAGTTTTGGGTTTTGCGGCTTCGTGTGTTTGTTTAGCTCTTCGTGTGTACGTTTGGCTTTTGTCGAGTGGCCGCCTATTGTGCAGCGCGCGCTACTGGGAATTTCAGCGCTACTGGGAATCTCAGGTATTCCTTTCGGCTGTGTCTTTCTTTTCGGGGATTGTTATTCTGTTGCTGCATATTGGTCCTGCGTGTGCTTGCCCTTGTTGTTGAGAAGTCTGGTTCGGCGATCATGGAGGGTTTTAAATCGGATGTTGTGGGGGTTCGTTTTAACGGGAAGAACTATGCACTTTGGGGGGTTTAAATTCAGGCTCCATGTGCAAGGGCGTCGCCTGTTCTCGTTTCTGGACGGGACTGCTCCTCCACCCGCGGCTGATGTCGCTGCTAAGGAGCGGGAGGATTGGGCCGCCAACAATGCTACGATGATGTCTCTGCTGCTGGGGTCGATGGAACCCGACATAGCTCTTAGCTTGTGCAGTCTCCCTACAGCTGCCGCAATATGGAAGCATATGGCAGATTTGTACTCGAAGGCGAGTTCTTCTCGCAAATATGATATTGAATTTGATTTGGCGGCGATGAAACAAGGGGAGCTGGATATTAGTTCATATTATCAGGAGGCAATGACACTATGGACAGAGCATGACCTGATCACGAGCTCTCTGGTCTCTGCGGCTGCAACGTCGGATGTTCTCAAAGAGAGAGCCAGCTCGCGTGTGATGCACTTTCTAATGAATCTCTGGGTTGAGATCTAGGGGATTCGTGCATCCCTCCTTCGTCGTAATATATCTACCATTGAAGGTGTCTTACTGAAGCTTCTCCGCGAGGAAACTAGATTGAAGAGTCAAGCTAAGCTTAACATTCATGCTTCTGACCCAGGTGCGGCATTTGCTATTCGTCAAGGTCTTCCTCAGTTTGCTCGTACTACATCGGGTGTGATCATCTGTCACTTCTGTAAGGAGCCCGGTCACATCCAATTTCACTGCAAGAAACGGAATAATTGCAACTATTGCAAACTTGATGGTCATCTCATCGCAGACTGTCCCACATTAGCACAGCGGGGCCGTATTCGCAATGCTGCAGGGAATTCACGTTATCGTGGTGCTCCTCGTTCCCGACCTGCTAGTCGCGCTTATGCGACCACCGCCGCGGAAGCTCCTTCGCCTGGCATGTCTCCGGAGGATGTCCGCAAGCTGGTTCAAGAGGCGTTGACGGAGGCCTTCGCTTCGGGTATGCATTCTTCTCTATCTCGTACTTGGCATTTAGACTCGGCAGCTTATAATCACATGACTAGTGATCGTCGACTATTTTCCGAGCTTGGTTCTTCTATCCGACCCTTGATTTACAAGCTGCTGATGGGTCTCGTATGCAAGTTAATGGGTCGGGTTGTGTGGTTCAGCCTAATATTTCTCTCCCTAATACATTATACTTTCCAAAGCTAGTTCCCAACCTGGTCTGGGTGGGACAATTGCCTGAAGATGGGTGCCGGGTTATGTTTGATGAGGCTGGCTGTGCGGGTCAGCCTAATACATTATTATTTCCGACTGAAGGGGAGCCAATCCTTGAAGCTTATTCAGATGCTGACTATGCGGGTTGCCAAGACACTTGTCGTTCTACTTTTGGCTGGTGCATTAAGATTGGTAATTCATTTATCTCTTGGCGGTGTAAGAAACAGGATCGGGTATCCAAGTCATCTACTGAAGCTGAATACCGGTCCATGAGCGAGGTATCCTCTGAAATTGTTTAGCTACGTAGACTATTGGCAGAGCTTGGAGTTATTTGTCAGGGTCCAGTTCCGCTGTTCGTTGACAATACGAGTGCAATTCGTATTGCAACTAATCTGGTGTTACACGACAGGACAAAGCATATCGAATAGCACGTTCATTATATTCGTCAGCTCGTAGCTGAAGGAACTGTGGATCTCACTTACATCACTTCCGAATACCAGACTGCTGATCTCTTGACTAAGGCAGTGTCTACTCCTCGTCATTGGTTCCTAGCACACAAATTGATGTTGCGTCAGCTACATCAATTTGAGGGAGGGTGTTAGAAGTGTAGGTACCAATTTGTAATTGTACAAATAAGTGACGTAAGATGGAGTTAGGGTTGTGGGTTGGCCGTGTATATATATGTTGTGATGGCTGACCTACGTAAGAACACAGTGAATAAGATCGATCTCTTCCTTGTGCCGTGGACTAGTCTTGAGGATTCTCGTCAAGGAAACCACGTAAATCTGTGTCTCGTCTCTTGTAATTGTGTTCGTATTATTATCAGGCCTTTCCTTTCTCAACGGAGTTTTTTGGATGAATATTTCGTAATTGTCTATAACACTATATCTACAACAAAAGAGGCTTGTCAACATCAACACGATATATATTGGAATGTTAAATATTTGTTCCTCCATTTCGAAAATGCGAATGTCAATAAAATACTTAAGAATTATGAATATATCGACCACTTATTTTTCTTTAGCATCTTTTCAAATTTATTATTCACGGTTTACATATTAAGTAAGAATGATCCATGTAAAGAAAGAAGTATCATTAATGTTACTTTTTACTGGAGGTTGGTCTAATATCTCTCATATATGGGGAAAAAATCAAATATTGTGAACTTATAATTCACTTATATTTTCACAACAAGGAAGATGACATTTTGCGACGGAAAATTCGTCGGTAAAGGTGCATATTTTCATCGCATAAGGGATTTAAACTCCATCTATACCACGCCACCTTAAGTTGCTGAGACGCAAAAATGAAACATCATATCCAAAACCTCAACTTGTCGCAAACAGGTCATTGCTTCTGCAAGGAAAGAGTCGTCGCTAATCATGGTTTCCTCGATGAAATTAGAAGATTTGGTGACTAGAGTTTCAAGTAGATTGTTGCTTCAGAAATCTATATTCGATAGAATAAATTTCACGCAAAAATACTTCACATAATTTAATTTTTTCTATATTACCAATGTGACTATTGCTTCTGAAAATTATATAATTCTCTCACTCTAAGGAATCATGGGAAACATAAATTATTGTGTTTTTACTTATCAAATTAAGTTTTTTTAAACAATGGGCTCGACCTTAATGTATTTTATAATCCATTGATAACTAAAAGTGGGAGTTTCTAATAAATTTACCAAAAGAAAGAAAATTTCTCAAAATAATGGGCCTAGTTTATATATTTTCAACATAAATGAATTAGTTAATTTCAATAATTCAAAATATTGGAAAATATTAACGCATTGCACCTCGTAATATTGTAAAAACTGTATGTCAAACAAACATCTCTTGCATCAAAATTAAATAAATAACTTTTTTATATCAAGAAAATCACTTCGAATAATTTTCAAAATTGAAAGCTCGTATTCAATTTTATATCTTGAAATACCTAAATTTTATGGGCAATGTAAAATAAAATATATTTATAAAAATGATTTAGAAGGAATAAATAGCACAAAATCATGTGTCGGTTTCATCTATTTTCAAAATTTTCAAAATAAATAAATTAGAATTAAATAACTCAAAACATTGAAAAAATGAACGCATTGCATGAAAGGGGGGAGGGTGAGGGTTAGAATCCTTGCTGGGGAGATGAAATGGTAACTTAGGTATAATAGTTAATCAGATATGAAAAATAACACGTATTTAAATGCAAATGGTTGATCTTTCAAATATTTGATGTATGATTTATACATTGTGTATTGACATATTTAATGTTTTATAACGAGCTATATACAAATAGTAATGGTGCAAATGATCCGCCTAAAATTAAAGATGTACTTATTTAATAAATACAAAATATTTCCACCAAATTATAGCTAATTTGTAAAAATGGTTTAATTTCAATCAGGGATAGGGAGAGTGTTACAGATGACTCCAAAAGAAAACAAATGAGTAAATATGTATTATAATTAATATAAAATGAAATTTAGGCAATTCGAATTGAGAATAGTTGATCGAGAGATCATGTGTTCGAAGCTTGGCGATCCAATTTATTAAGCACATGATATTCATATTTGCGAAAAATTTAAGCATATAAATTGGTTTTGGTTAGCAGGGAAGTGTTAGTAAATACTAAATACTATAAGATCCATTATTAAATATTTCCCAACAACTCGAGTTACTGATACTAAACGGTCTTGACAAAGAACACCATTCAAAAGCAAATGTCTAACTAAATCATAAATAATTGTTTGATACATATAGAGTGATATTCTTGATAGTTTTGACATATATTTAATTTACCAATTTTTTGTAAATGAAAAATTATATCCTCAATGATTTAAACACTAATAAAATTATTTATCGTATATATTTTTTTCTAAATGGACCCATCTTCGAAAAAATCATGGTTACATCCCTGATTGCATCTAGTAATATTGTGAAAAATATATGTCAAATGAACAACTCTTGTATCAAAAGTGAAAAAGTTGAAAATAATTATTTGGCGGAAAACTCATAAAACAATTCTATATATCAAATAATCACACTATTAATTGCCTCCAAGTCAAAATATTTAAAACAATAAGGGCACAAAAGAAATCCTCATTAAACAAGAATATATATCAAATAATCACACTACTGCATCAGAATCCAAAATATATAAACGATTAGAACACAAAAGAAAACCTCATGATACAAAAGAAAGGAGAAATGGGTCTTTTGAACCCATGATCCGCGAAAGCACTAACTCGAAGACTCACTCACTAAGCAAGACTTTTCACTGATCTCTCTACTCGTTGCATATAATTCAGTGTATGGTTCTGTGGGGAAACGGATTGGTTTTCACTGGTTGTATGACTGACGTTATGGGGATTCGGCTTATCCCACTCTGGGCCTCATTGGTTCGGTGGCATTCGTTGAAAATGTGCGCAAAAATAATATTGGTAGTTGGGCAGTACTGGGCGAATTTGGAGGTAGCAGTGTTGAAATGGATGGGTCGATAGAAGATTTCGATATGGCCGTGCAATAATGCATTTTTGTTACTACATGAATATCCTTTATTGGGCGGCTAGTAAAATGATAGTAATTATGCAAAATGGTCTATAATTTATTGAAAGATAAATTGTGATTCACTAGCATAGAGCCCGGCCTATTGGCCGGGGGGAGTTTAATCTTTGTATTTGAAATCTTGTACTCATTTTTGTGGCCCGTTTTCATTTCATTGAAGTTCCGACAGAGGAAAGGCTTATATGTGATGGCGTGTTTTGCTTCGTATCTAAAGAGGGGCAAAAACCTCTACTAAACACTTTTTAGAGATTCTTTTTACCAACGCCAACCCAAAATGTTTGTGGAGATTGAATGTGTCAGGGCATAAAAAACCATCCACATTTGACACTATGAGAGGATTGTATTTCTCCAAACCACTCTAAGCAACGCCTAATCCTCGTTTGCAGGTAGATGAGGGGTGTGCTAAAGGCTAAAACTGCGACTGAAGCGATAGACTCAAAGGGGTTCAATGATATAATTAGTTTCATTGAAGCTTAGACCTCTGATCCAACCGACTCCTTTATCATAAATACTTGAATTTCCTAATAGCGACATGTGTTGGCTATGATACATTTAATAAGTTTAGTTAAGATAGTCGTCTAAGTATGAATCCGGTATAAAATGACTATTATCAGTTGTCATGAGCAATTATCTGAAATTATCTGAAATTAAAATTGCTGTATTTCTAAATTAGAACATAAGAATTTAGCCAATAAATACGACCCGGACAAATATTGTATATCACTTATTAAGCCAGTTGGTCAAATATTTTAACATAAGATCTTTGTCTCTGGTCAGCTTATATAAGGCTCAAATAAGGAAACAAAATCCGGCTTCTTCATATGCAGAACACCTAGAGACCATGAAACATAAGCATAATTGGATTTAAAAAAATGAAAGTATAAAAGTTTAATTTTCCGCAAACTCAAAGGAGTAATCCTAATCCAAAGATTGGATCAATATGTAGCATAATTAAGTCCATACTCAACTTCTTTTTTTATATTATTTAATTCATATTCGATAAAGTTGCTCGACAATAATAATCCAAATATTTCAATTTTGGAATCAGTATCGGAGATGGTTATTAGTGTACGCCCGGGCGTACGCTAGGTTAGCGTACGCCCCATTGAGTTTTGCTATATAGATCATGAATTAATCGGAATTTGGGGCATGATACTATACCCTAACCTCTAATGGGTAAATCCCAGTCCCTAATTTTCTAACCCAAACCATGAAATTCGTTTAATCTTAAAATGAAAATCAATGAAAATTTCGATGAATCCGAATCGTTGATTTTCATTTTTAAGATTAAACGAATCTCATGCTTTGGGTTAGTGAATTGGGGACTGGGATTCACACATTAGGGGTTAGGATATAGTATCATGTCCCAAACTCCGATTAATTCTTTGTCTAAATAGCAAAACTCAATGGGGCGTACGGTAGGCTAGCGTACGCCCAGACGTACGCTAGCCTTTGCCATATATATATATGGATACGACTCGTATGCTCCAGACACATAGTACGCTCCATGCTTTTCCACCATTGATCTAATCTAATGGCTATTATTATTTAGAATTAACAAATTTTTTATTAATAATTACAATTACTAATTACACCCGTAAATAATTATACGTCCATTACAATCCCCCAACAATGAATAATCATCTTGTATTGTATCATTGAGTAAATAAAACCGAAGCTGAGGTTTGATACACCGTCATCGTAGTCGACTAGTCGTCGTCCCTATATACAAAAGATTGGAAGGCGGTGGAGGATCAGGAAATCACCGGGAATTCTCATCTCCGATCCAAAACAACATCTACACCTCTACAGCAGCGGGCGCACTTATTGTGGGGAGATTATTTGTTTTTTCGGTTCACCATGCTGCTCTCCCCTCTGTTATTTGTCCATTATCAGGTTGGGGGATTCGTTTGGCCATCTTATGTGGAATAATTTTTTGTGAATTGATATGGGAATAGTGGTTTGGTAGCTTTATTCCAATTTTGATTGAACTATTCCTAGAGATCCAGATTCCAGATGTCCAATTTTGATTAAAGTAGGGGTGGCAACCGGTCGGTTTCGGTTTAACCGAAAACCGAAAACTCGGTTTTCGGTTAAACCGAGACACCCAACACGGCTTCCGACCACCGACCGTGAGAGAGCCACAGGCAATCGACCACCGACCGATCGGTTTTCGGTTTTAGGCTCGGTTAACCACATAGCCGAAAAAAAAATACCTCTTCCCTCTAAAACGTCAGCGTTTAGCTAATTTAAAAAAAAAACTTTCACAAAAAAAAAACAAACACAGAGACTTCCTCCACCACACAATCCTTATCTGCTTCCACTTTTTCAAACACCACCAGCCACCACACAAACCTAAAATTATCTCCTTCTCTCACCTTCCTCCACCACACAATCCTTATCTACTTCTCACGGTTCCACCAGCCTCCAATTCAAAGACTTGACAGGGGTTGCGCGGTGGGCGATTGGCGGTGGGCGATGATTGATCCGTGGGGGATTGCTGGAACCGGAGGGGGAGGGAGATGGCGAACTTGCGAGTCGGCGACCGGCGAGGGAGGGAGATGGCGGACTAGCGAATGAACTTAGACCACTTGGGGACGTCGAGCTGGCGGCCGCCGCAGGTGCCGTCGTGGTAGCCGTTGCACTTTCCCAGGCTTGAGCATCTCTTGAGGATTTGCTTGATTACGGCCGTCTGTGGGAGCTTGTTTGATGATTTCCTGTTGGCCATTTTCGTGAACAGAGTATTCAGGGGGTGTTGGGTTTTCCTTCTTCTTCTTTTTTGTGTGGGTTGGATTGAGAGGGGTTTTTTCTGTTCACTTTTGGTTTTGGGAAGAGGAGGAAGGGAAGGGGATTTGGGAGCAGGGATGTCGGGGTGTCGCGCGGGGTCGGCGGAGGGTGGTTGCTGGTGGTGACGGGTGAGGGAAGGGAGTGGATTTGGTCGACGAAGGGGATTTGGTCGGCGGAGGGGATTTGGTCGGCGGAGGGGATTTGGCCGTCTGGATTGGATGGTGGAGACGGCGGAGGGTGGTTGCTGGTGGTGACGGGTGAGGGAAGGGAGTGGTCGAGGTCGACGAAGGAGAAGGGTTATTAAATAGTCGGTCGTTTAGGGTAGGACGACAGCGTTTGAGTGAGGGTTTTCAACGCTCGGTTAGCCCCGGTTAGCTCGGTTAACTAATTTCGGTTGCTCGGCTAGCCGACGCTCCGACCAGCTGCTCCGACCACCGACCAAGGCTGTGTACAGTCGGTTTTCGGTTAGCCGTTAACCGGCGGTTATCGGTCTAACCGACCGGTTAGCCGCTAACCGACAACCGAACTACCACTGCAGCGTTTAAACTATACCTAGGGTTCTAGATGGAATCAGACTGTGGAATCGCCTCATGTAACTGAATATCTTTCTCTCGGACACGAAGGGGGCATAGGCGAAGGAGACGCAGGAGCCGCAGCAGGATCCGTATCTTGAGTTTCTATAGAGGGAGAACTTCTGACGGAGATAGTCGAGAGTAATGTGGTGGCGGTAACAGAGAGATGAACTGGAAATTATCAGAAGAGAGGGATATATATATAGGATGTGTAAAATTCCAGTGATCGACGATATGAGACGGCTAGGGATAGATTTGATGATCGTCAAGGGGGAGGAGAAGGTTCACCCACCAAGATGAAGAGGAAACGTGAAAGGATTTGGAGTTGGCCTTGACAGTACGAGAAGAAACAAAATACAAATGTAGAGAATGCCAAAATTGGGGATTAAGTTATGATTGGAAAAAGATTAGGTATTATAAAATTGATATGTCAAAATATGTATAGGAACTAAACATCACGTATTAACCATTTAATTATCTTTAAATAGTAAATTACATGTAATTTAATTAGCATTAATAAATATCGTTAGATGAGATCAACGGTGTAGAGAATCTGGAGCATGCTATGCGTCTGGAGCATACGAGTCTGACCCATAAATATATATACCAAATTTTTTAATCCCGGAGCTAATTGACCCAAGAATGAATAACCATACTATCTTCCGGAGAAAATCTTCAATGGTATTGGTGTCCAAACCAAGTTTCAAATCTGCCTTCATCTACTTCAAACTCGATTGAATTTCCATTATAGCTATTATGCGTGCTGGATTTCATCAAACTTCATCTGATGTTGACCAATTTTGGGAGGGAAGTGGTCACTTTTGCGGATTCCTTCGCAAAACAAATAAATTATGATTAATAATGTAAAGCTAAGTACTGATTAAGTTGAGAAGGATTCAGATAACAAATACATAATTATAACATAAAAAAAAATAGTCACTAAAGAAATAGCAAGAGCCAAGAGGAAAAGCACATAGAAAGCTAACAAATTATAAGTGTGTTTCGGACGACATTAATGCAGGGTAAAACGTTCTGATCTCCTCACCGTTTTGCTTGCTTGCTTATATACTTGTTTCGAGACAAACTATACAACTCTGGTGTTTTGGGAGTAGGATACTATGACTACCCCAAAAGGGGTTGGGTTTTTGACACCCCCTCCTGCAGCTATCTATGGTCCTTCATATTTGGGTAAGTATTAATGATTATTGCTTTATTGGGAAGTTGTCATTATTATTGCTTTATTGGGAAAATTCTCATAATAATGATGCATGGAAAAGTTCTCATAATAATGATACACGGGAAAACATCTTTCGTCTCCCCTTCTCTTCCTTTCAAATTTCTTTCCACCAGAACCCTCTCCCGGCGTCTTCTCAGTCCAGCAAACCCTGCCTCCGACGGTTCACCCTCCGTCGGCCAACTTCCATCAGCGGCCCAACTTATCATTGCCTCCCTTTCCGCCGACCCTCTCCCGTCCCTCCGTTCCCCTCGAGTCTCCTCTCCTGCGACATCGACTTCATCATTTCACACGACCGGAAATCATCAAGATGGTCTGGACGATTTCGTCTCTAACGTCGAGCATATGGAAGACGGCGGCAGAGGAAACGCACCAGTGGAGTGGTACGTGTACTAGTGGAGTGGTACGTGTACATCGACTTCATCACTTCACGCGACCCAAAATCTTTAACGTCGAGCATATGGAAGATGGTGGCGCTGCCGTGAAAGTGGAGCCAATTAGAGACGCCGAGGAACACCAAAACAATCTCAGTAAGGATCTGTATTCATGTCTCGTCGACTTCTCCCGCCCGACAATGTACCACTGCAATGGTATTTTTCCCCTGAAAAGGTCCAGACGGACACCACTGGTTATTGAAGCTGCGTAAACAACCTAGTTGCTTTGCATTAGGTGTTGTCAATACGTTTGTAAACTAGTATATTTGTTTGAATGAACATGTATCCGTGACATGACAAGAGTAACAGTGCTTACCCTTAATGTTGTGGTTTTATGTACCAGTCTAGTGATACATTGTTCCGGGACCAATATTGAAGTTTGTAAACTTGTTTTAAAATTGTCCAAATTTCTAGATGAAATATCGATGTTCAAACGTTACCATTGCAGCATTAGATATAATGTACTTGTACCACTGAACTGATACATATACCACTGAACTGATACATGTATCACTAAACTGATACATGTACCACATAGAGTATGACATGAGGGAATTTACTGGTATTTGTATCATTGAAGTGGTACTGCATTGTTGCTCCGTTATTGTTTATCATTGTTATGATAAATATCATTGCACTGGTATTGTTCTCACTCCAACTCGTATTTGCCACTTCTAATGTACCACTTCATTAGTATTTTGTATGGGAGAAATACACCACACGCCACTAAACTATAAGAATTGGGGGAAGGATTAGGGGTGGGATCGGTACGGTTTACGGTTTACCGGTTACCGTTTATCCGGTTTCGGTTATACCGGATTTCCCCTTCCAGCCTCCGTTAGCCGATACCGAAGTCTGTCGGTATACCGCCAGCCGAATGGGACGGTCTCGGTTAGGGAAACGGTGTCCCGAAATACCGAAAGCAGCAGCCTCACGTCTCCATTAAATGTCATGTCTGTCTGAGTCTGTCGGTCTGTCCCAAATCCCAATTCCCATTTGAAGACATTGTGTGTGACGTTGTAATTGTCGAGTCCCATGAGACAAGAAGACAAATATATTTGTTTAATTGTTAAATTGTTTCGCTGTAATTGTCTGTCCCATTAGTACTGGAATTCCATAACTATTATTCTAAGGCGCAAAGGCCAATATATTTGTTTAATACTTTAATTGTTTCGTTGTAATGGACTTATGGACTAATGGTCTGTCCCATCCCATGAGCAATATATTTGTTTAAGTTTAATTGTTTCGTTGTAAATTGTACTCCAACAAACAAGAAGACAAATATGATTTAATGATTATATGATTATATGGAGAAAAAAAACCTGTAATCCAACAAGTGAATTCCGAATAGCAAATACCAAAAAATGAAGATAAAAAATAGCATTATAGTTTTATAATAGTAAGTACCACGTAGCTATAATTCCAAAGGGAGCAGTCTGGCATGCTTCTTCTAAATGTTTGAATTAAGTTCTAAAAATGACGATAAAAAATAGAATCACTAGTTCCTCACTTGCCACTAGGACCTGTACCATTAACATCAACAAAACCTTGTTGCTTCAAAGTGGTGTGAAGGGTATCATCACCATCATCCTCTTCATCTTGGTCCTCCTCGTCCTCGTCTGAATCTTCCTGCTCTTCATCTTTCTCCTCCTCCTCCTCCAGTACAACAGGTAAACCTTGTTTGTCACCTTTACTTGGCATGACAGTAGCACTTTCCATTCGAGCTTGGAAGTTAGTAGTGACTAAGTATAATAAAAAATACAAATTGTTAGAATTCATCTTATAATATATTATTGAGAAATGAGTAAGAGAATACTTAAAAATAAATTAAATTATGAATTCTTATTTCTTACCAGTTTCATAATCGATTTGGTCTTGATTTTCATCTTCTTTATCATCAACTTTTTCTGTTTTCTTCCCTCCTTCAAACCTTATCCAATCTTCAGCACAAATCAAGGCCTCTACAATGATGGGGCTCAAAGAAGACCTAAACGGGCTGAGCACTCGACCTCCACAACTGAAAGCGGCCTCTGAGGCAACAGAGGAGACTGGAACAACTAGGATATCCTTAACCATCTGGGAAAGAATAGGATATCTAACGCCGTTCTTACTCCACCACAGCAAGATGTCAAACTTCATATCATTATCATCCTCGTTAATAGCATCATTAGCATTTCTTAAGTAGATGTCTAGCTCAGAAAAACCTCGAATCCCCATCTGAAGTTGCTCCTTTCTCATCTTCTTGAATTCAGCATCAAATGTCCCTCCAAAAGATGCAGATCCATCATCATCACTAGGAGTGGCCTGAACAGTAGGCTCGGAGGGTTTAGGTGCATACTTCAATCTGTAAACCTCAAACATTGTAGTCATCTCTGCAGTTACATCTTTCACCAAATCATCTCCTTTCTTCTTCCCATACATCTTACCACACATCCAAGACAAATAAGCCATTTTACGCCTAGGATCTAGCACACAAGCCATGTAAACCAGTCTATTTATCCTTAGGTTCTCCACCTCATCATCATCATCATTCTCAAACCAATACTTTCGTACCTTTGCCTCCATTCTTTCTGCCATCCGTTGTATCTCTACATCTATGTCTTTCTTAAAACGTTCTATCACTTCATAGATGTCAGCAATAACTTTGAAGAAAGTATGAGTAGTCACATAAGATGTTCCTAATACATCAAAAAATAACAACAATTTATTCACATATTACAAGTTAATAAAAGTAAAAACCATGAATTTGAATAGGTGGAGTTCTGTTCACATACCCGATACCCGTAAAGTGAGCTCATAAAAGAACTTCAAATACTTCATTAGCCGCCGAATACTGCTCCAATCTTCCTTAGTTGGAGGACCTCTCTTTGAGTCCACATAGTCCCGAAATGCAGAATCATTGGGGCTCGCATGCAAGAAATTAAAAACAAGCTCAAACCTTTCAGCAGATTCCAACATCAAATAAGTTGAGTTCCACCTAGTTGGAACATCCAAAGATACAAGTCTTCTTCCATCCATTTGTAGATATTCAATGGTAGATTTGAACTTTGCACTTCTACCTGGTGATGACTTCACCCATTTCACACAATCTCGAACCCTTTCTACAGCAACTCCAACCTCCTTCAACCCATCTGACACAACCAAATTGATTATATGTGCCACACATCGAAATTGCAAATACTTCCCACCAAGCAAATCTGTTCCCCACTCTTTCATCTTTGTTCTCATACACTCTATAAGAACATCATTAGAAGAAGCATTATCCATGGTAATGGAGAACAAATGTTGTGCTTTCCAATCTTGTAGACATTCTGCCAATTTTTCTGCAATATCCTTCCCACTATGACTAGTGATGGGAACAAAGCTAATGATCCTCTTCTGCAGCTTCCAGTCACTCCCAATGAAATGAGCAGTTACACACATGAAGTTCTGGTTGTTATCAGAAGTCCATGTATCTGTGGTGATAGAAATTCTTCCTTTGCACTTGGATTTGAAGAACTCAGATAGCAACTCTTTTTTCTCCAAAAAGATTATATAACAATCCTGCCTTATTGTCTGTCTTCCAGGTATCACAAACAATGGTTGGGTTTCCGCCATAAATCTCTTAAACCCTTCATGCTCAACAAATCGAAATGGCAGCTCATCCAAGATGATCATTACAGCTAATGCAGTTCTAGCTTTTTGTTGATCAAACTTCCATGGAGTAAGAGAGCCTACCTCGCCATCCCCAGGCTGATAATTCAATAGTGATTGACCACTGGCTGCCTTCCTCTTTCTCTCGCATGCCAAGTGATGGTTCTTCAAACCAGTAGTCCCGTTATTGATCGAGTGAGCTTTTATCAAAGTTCCACACTGTTTGCATTTACCATATGGGTAGTCATCCACCAGAGCATCATCATAATAATCCCACCACGGGGATCTCTTCTTCCTTCCCGGTCCCTTCACATTTTTCTTTGGCTCACCAACTCCATCCGCTGGCGTAGCAACTGCAGGTGTTGCAGTAGCAGGTGCAGATTCAATGCCTGTGGCTGTGGTAGGTGTAGGTGTACTCGATGAGACATTCCCTTGATTCCCTTCTGCAACTCCAACACGAGTACCCAATTTTTTGGAAGTGGTTCGAGGAGGAATTGAACCACTTTTTTTCGGACCATCTCCTTTATGAGGACGAGAAGGTTTTGTCCTATAACAAAAAGTAAAAATCATTAAAATGCCAACATGTCAAAAAAACAAAAACCACTCAACCATAAACCATTAAACCACTATCTTACATTTTTTTACTTTGTTTCTCAAGTAACAAACAAAACAGAAGTAAAAAACGACCCCTTGTGCTCGGCTGTAGCCTAGCCTGTAAGCCTGTAACTTTTGTAACTTTATATTAATATATTGATTTTGCTTCAGCTCCAAGCCTACAAAAATAAACAAAAGTACAAAACAATTTCAATAATTGAAGAATGAAGATTACAAAGTACAAACTGCCAAACTTCCTTACTCCCATGCTTCTCTCTCTGCTCGGCTACAATACAAGAGCATACGACAAATCCTAAATAGCAAAATACATTAACAATTTAACATTATCAAGCTTCTTAAATAATTGAATACAGAATAGAGAATACCGTACGTACTGGGCAAACACGACAACGCCGACCGATTAACCTCACAGGCTCAGACGACAACCATGTTCGAAGGGACTTGAGGAAAAGTCAAAAACAGAGCCTAGCGGAGCTGCGGAGAGGATGAGGGCTACTGGGTCGTGTATCTTGACCAGAGCTTGCGCCAGCGACGAGGACGACGACGGGGTTCGACGGAAACAGGGCAACGATGAAAGGGCTTGACGGAAACAGAGCCGGAGAGGATGGCGGCTGCTGCCTGCTGGTCTGTGTCGTGTCGGTCTCTTGGGTGGAGCTTGTTGCCGGCGACGAAGACGACGAAGATACTGGTGTCGGGTTCGATGAACGGAGGGAGGAGTGATCGGCAATCGTGAATTCGTGACTCGTGCTCGTGCAGGCAGGGCAGCAGGGAAATAAAGAGCGAGGCAAGGTAAGGTTAATTGCTTAGGTTTAGGCTTAGGGCTTTTGTTTAATTGTTTTGGACTTTTGGTTTGCCGACTTTGGAATTCAACTGGCGAAGTGGCGATTGGATTGCGTACTCCGATTCGGTATCGGAATACCGCTTGGCCGACGGTATATTACATATCGGCACTCGGTACACCGCTAGCCTCAAAACAATAGCCGTTTACCGTTTGGTTCGGTTAACGGGTTAACCGATAACCGCGGTTACCGGTACGGTTATCGGTTAACACGTTAACCGCACAACCGGTTAGCACCCCTAGGAAGGATACTACTAATGTGACAATAGAGCACCAAATACCATTAAAGTTTCCAAAATATGCATCCATTAAATTCTTCATCAATTTGATTAACCAAATGAATACAATATATTTTTCCACCTCAAGCCTCTTTAACTTTCGTTGAAACTCGACATTAAGAGTTGCTGGACCATAAATATCTTCATTGTCATTGCTCCATTTTGCAAGCTCCCTAATCGCTCTCGCTTGTAGTCCGGAACGTGCTCTACTCCCTGCTCCGTGCGATTTGTCTTTCCTAGCGTGCATCTGTCGCCGCTCCACAACTTCTTGAGGAACTCACTGCTCTGACTGAAATCAAAGAAGGTAAAATCAAAAGTCAAACCAATAAATATAACTACTGATAGATGAGATCAACAATAAGACTTTCACTGCAGATATATCAATCCATTGATAGCTCTATCCTAGAAAGCCATTCTAAACATAACTACTACGGTAGTTGTACTTTAAACAACCATAATGATTTTTTTTTGTACCACTACAGTGATAGCACTACCCACAAAAACATCACAACGAACTACCACTGCAGCGATAGATCAACAACTGCAGTGATAGATCTACCACTAAAGTGATAGACACAGTATGCCACAAAAACATTCAGATGGTTAACTATATCAATGTGGTGATAGACTGCAGTCAAATAAACAACACTACATTATCCAAGAATCAAACTATCACTAGAGTGGTATACTTCCGTACCAGAATCAACAATTTATACCACTCCAGTGATAGACATACCAGTACACAGGTACTGATACCACAAGAAAAAATCCATTTCTTGAAACTCAAAATCACAGATATGGGTGATGAAAAGACCATTGCACTAGTACTAATACCACACGAAAAACCCATATATATGAGTTTGGTAGAGAGTGCTACCTCAGATTCTTTTTCGTCGTCTTTGCCGGAAAGGGGAGGAGGGCCAACGCCGGAAGGGTAGGAGGGTCGTCGTCTTCGCCGGAAAGGTGAGGAGGGTCATCGTCTTCCCTGTCGATCCCTTCGCGTCGACGATCGAAAAGATAAACCTGTGGCGTGAAGTCGGAGGATGGCCGACGAATGGGATGGGCCGCCGATGGTCGTTGAGGAATCGTAACGGAGGCCGGAAGGGTGATGATTCCGTCGCGGGGAGAGGTTACGTCGGGGGAGGGTTTCCATAGATAGGTTATTGAAAGGGAGATAGGAGGAGACGAGAGGGAGTGATAAAAGGGTGAGGGTTAATTAATTTTGTATTGACCTTGGGAACCATTTTTTCCTCGATACCCGATTTCTTTCCTTTTCAATGTAGGTTATAGAGCAATAATTACGTGATTACTGCTCAATAAATAGATGTTTAATCCTAACCATTCGTTTAACACTAATAAAAATGGATGGCATCTAAGTGGGGTGTCTAAAATCAAACCCCTTATAGGGTAGTCATGCTAACCGCTCCCAGTGTTTTGTCTTTGCTCTTAAAAGCATAGAGAAAGAAAAGATAGGGTCAAGCGAATAAGACGGGACGGGAGAAAGTGCTGAGTGGGCCTCATGTTGGTTCTAGTTGAGAGCCCAAAGTGCAAAAAAACATAATAACATGGGAAAATAATAATGGGCTTTAGCCCATTTGGTAGTCGTCTTCGATGTGTGGTGGAAGTGCAGTGACGCCGACAAACACTGATGCAGAAGAAGGGGAAGAATAAGAGCACATGGTTTTCTTCTCTAAGTTACTGTTGGGCCCATAGTTGAGCAGCAGTGGGCTTGAGGCCCAGGAGGGAATAGCCGAGCAGGGCCCAAGGAGGAGTCAGGGTCTCGGTGGAGAACCCGAGGAAGAGCATGGGAGAAGGGGAGCAGCAGGCGGCCGCCCTATGACAAGACGGGGACTAGGCCGCCCGACACAAGTGACCGTTGGTGTCAGAAGGAAGAGATCTTCCTGGGGATACCTACCTCGGATACAGCAGGACTAAGCATTAAATGCCCGCCGTAGGCGGTTCGGGAAAGGTAAGGTGCGTATAGGCCACCTGACAATAGCATTTAATGCCCCATGCTCGAGAGGAGGGGCTATAAATACACCGGGATCGACATTAATGGTAACCAACTACTACTCTCTCTCTCTAAACAAACATAAATTCTCATTTCTCTCTCTAACTTAGGCATTGGAGAGTGTCCTGGGCGACCGCCCACGGACCCTTGTTTTGTAGGAGCTTGGAGTCCCCCTTCATCCTAAACAGGCGCCTCGCTCGTTCTGCACAAACCGCCTAGTACATCCTAGGCTTAAACAATTTGGCGCCCACCGTGGGGCGAGAGAGAGCACTGAAGAAAGGATGGATGGGAGCTCCAACACTCCTGTCAAGGGTGTAGTAGGGAGAAGCAGTCCTCGCGCACCAGACGCGCAGATGAGTGGCATCCGAGGATTGGAAATGCCCACTGTGGAGGAGGAAATGGAGATGGAAGACCGCGTGAAGAGTCAAGGGCAGCAAATATCGAGCATGCAAGAGAGCCTAGGTCAGATATTGGCCATGCTCAGAGAGAAAGAAGTCGAAGCGCCAGGAGGCTCGGGAAAGCGGCCTAGCAAAGGGAAAGAAAAAGAAAGTGGTCCCGACAGCCCTGCTCGGACAGAAGGCGGGGAGCCCGACGAAGAGGAAGGTGCGGGAGACAGCTTGGGATTTCTGGAGGAACATCTCAAGCCCAAGTATGGCAAAGTCAAGGGTCCCACCATCCTCCAGAACCCACTAGCCAGGAGTCTATTCAAAACTCAGGTTCCACCCAACTTCTCATCACTCGGGCTGCCCACATACAACGGGAACTCAGATCCCACCGACCATTTAAGCGCATTCATGCTAAAGATGCAGCTCATCAACGCCACAGACGCAGATCTATGCAAGGCGTTCCCGGTCACCTTCGGCGGTCAGTGCAGGACTTGGTATACCTCCTTACCCGGGGGGATAATTGAAGATTTTGAGCAGTTCGCGACCCTTTTCTCCTCAAAGTTCGCGTCCCAGAGAAGAAGAAAGCTGACAGTGTCGTCATTAATCAACTGTAAGCAAGGGGGAGAAGAGTCGCTGACAGATTTCTATGACCGGTGGAACACTATAGCCTGTGAAGTACAAGGAATCTCGCCGAGCGTGGCGGCAGGTAACCTGCGTATGTCCACGCACAGTTGTGAGCTGCGAAGGGCGCTTATCAAGAAAGAGCATACGCTGAAGGAATGGCCCGACCTGGACCGCCTAGTGAGAAAGGCGATTTTGTTGGAAGAAGCCATGATAGTGGAGGACGTTGCCAAACGCACCCATATAAAAGAAAGAGAGAAGAAGAAAGGAGGGTCACCTAGGAGGAGGGGGCGGTCCCCCGAGAAGAGGAGCTACAAATCAAGATACGTCCATCGGGATAACAGGAGGGAAGTTTTTGCCACCAGTAGAGAAGAAGGCCGGGACCGAAAAAGCGACAGCCGAGCGCACCAGACGCATAGGAGGGATGAAGACCGAAAATGGTGTGACTGGCACCAGATGCCCACCCATGACACCACCGAGTGTCGGGAGTTCAAAGCAAGCCTGAAGTACTTGGCGCCGGGAGATCTCAAAAGTCGTTTGGACACGAGACCGCACCAACAGGAGCAAAGGCATCACAAAGAGAGATCGCCAAGCCCAAGAAAGAGATCAAGAACACCAAAGCGTGACAGATCGAGGTCGCGAAGGCGGGAGCGGTCTCCCAGACGTGAACGTCTCCCACCGCCGCCAAGAAGGTCGCCTCAGCCACGGTTGAACGAGGACGACGTCGAAGTAATAACTATTGCAGGCGGTCGCAAAAGGCCCAGGAGTGAGGGAGACCGCCTAGTGCAGTGCTTAAATGTTAACAGAAGCGAGCAAGTATACATCAGCTTTTCACCCTCCGAGCTAGCCCCTGGTGAGAGCGCTGAGGATCCATTAGTGATTTCTTTAAGGACAAGGAAATTTAAAGTTACCAGGGCATTGGTCGACAATGGTAGCTCAGCCGACATACTGTTCTACTCCACCCTCAAAAGCATGAAGATGAGCATCCAAGATCTCAAGCCCTCGTCTACAAGCCTAGTAGGCTTCTCTGGGTCAAAGATCAGAGTGCTAGGCGTGGTCACTCTACAGGTGACAATTGGAGAGGCAGACATAACAAAAACACGCTCAATGGACTTTCACGTTGCTGACTGTCCGTCAGCGTATAATGCAATTTTGGGACGCGGTTTCCTGTCATTATTTTCGGCGGTTCCCTCCACTTGTCATCAGATGCTGAAATTCCCCGTGGGTGGAAGAGTGGGGCAAGTCAAAGGAAACACTGAGCAGGCTAAGGAATGCTACCAAGCGACCATACAAAGCTTGGAAGTGGACGTGGTGGATACTAGAGGAGGCCACCCACGCCCCGAGGCGGTAGAGGGGGACGCGGAAGTCATACTGGATAACGCCGAGCCAGAGAAAAAAGTGAGAATTGCATCCCACCTAACAGAAGAGAAGGCGCGGGAGCTGTTGGCGCTCCTCAAAGAATACAAAGATCTGTTTGCGTGGATTTCAGAAGACATGCCGGGCGTCTCAAGGGAACTCGCGGAACACCACTTGGCAGTAAAGAGCAAGTCCAAGCCCGTTCAGCAGAGGAGGAGGGCCGCATCCCTTGAGAAGCAGATGGCATTAGAAGAAGAAGTCAGGCGGTTGCTAAAAGCTGGATTCATAAGAGAGGTCAAGTATCCCACTTGGCTGTCGAACCCTGTTTTCGTTCGCAAGGCCTCTGGACTATGGCGAATGTGCATAGATTTCACAAATCTGAACGCAGCTTGCCCAAAAGACGCCTATCCGTTGCCAAGAATCGATCAGCTCATAGACGCGACCGCCAATCATGAAAGTCTCAGCTTTCTAGACATGTTCTCGGGGTACCACCAGATCCGCTTATCTGAAGAAGATCAGGAGAAAACTACTTTTATGACCCACATGGGCAACTTCTGCTACACGGTCATGCCATTTGGCCTGAAGAACGCCGGAGCGACATATCAAAGGATGATAGATGCGGTCTTCAAAAGCCAACTGGGAAGAAACGTGGAGGCTTATGTGGATGATGTCCTCGTAAAGAGCAGAAAGGAAGATGATCACCGGAAGGACCTCAAAGAGACTTTCGAGAGCCTAAGGAGGGAGCGCCTACGGCTGAATCCTCTGAAGTGCGTTTTCGGCGCAAAGGCAGGCAAATTTCTGGGATTTATGATTACAAGCAGAGGGATTGAAGCAAACCCGAAGCAGATTGAGGCGGTAACTAGTCTGCGACCGCCTCAAACCATCAAGGAAATTCAAGCTTTCAATGGCAAGATGGCCGCTTTGAGTCGCTTTATTCCTAGGTCAGCGGATAAATGTTCGCCTTTCTTCCAGATGTTGAAGAAGTCGGCGTCCCGCTCACAATGGAACGCGGAATGTGATAAGGCCTTTTTCCAATTGGTGGAGCAGCTAGCGTCGCCCCCAGTCTTGAGCGCTCCACGCCCAGGCGAGCCCCTATATCTCTACCTTGCAGTGTCCAATCAAGCGGTCAGTTCGGTGTTGGTACGAAGAGAAGGCGATGGCTCAGACCATCCAGTCTACTATGTGAGCAAGGCGCTCCTCCCAGCAGAAAGGCGCTACATGCCTATTGAGAGGGCGGTCTTGGCCGTTGTGTCAGCGGCAAGGAAATTGCGCCCTTACTTTCAAGGGCACCAGATAACCGTATTGTCAAACCTACCCTTGAAGAAGATTCTGAAGGGAATGGACGTCTCGGGGAGAATGACTAAATGGGCGGTCGAACTCAGTGAGTATGACATAGCATACGCTCCACGACCTTCTATCAAGGGGCAAGTGCTCGCCGACTTTGTCGCCGAGGGGTTCAGCCTGGAAAACACCAGGGAAAAGGATGAAGTTGAAATATGGCGTCTATTCGTAGACGGGGCAGCTGGAAAGGGAGGTGCAGGAGCCGGAATTGTTATCGAAACGCCCGCTGGAGTAATACATGAAGTTTCTCATCGGTTCTTGGAGCTGAAGACCAACAATGTAGCAGAATATGAGGCGCTTCTCAGCGGGCTGAAGATTGTCGTCAACATGGGCGCCTCCCACTTGCATATATACTCTGACTCACTGCTCGTAGTGAACCAAGTGCTAGAGAACTATGAAGTCAAGGAGGAAGCCTTAGCAGAATTGGCGGGGAAAGTG